CCAAGTTATTATGGGATTTTCCGCAGTTATTATTCGAAGTCGTATTTTCCCCAATTATTATGGGATTTCCCCATTATTATTTGAAGTGGGATTTTCCCAGTTATAGTGGGATTTTCCCCAATTATTATTTAAGTGGGATCTTCCCCAGTAGGGATCTTCCCCGGTTGTTTGCTAAGCAATATTACTCTCATTTGAAAATCAAAGTAAGGATCTTCAAATATCTCTTAATAGGGATCCTTTTCTACGCAAACTCTAAAGATCATATGGGATCATAACTCAAGACTTTTCCTGAATCAAAAGATTGAAAAACCTAAAGATTGCCAGGTTCTATCTATCTTTAAAGCTATTTTTCCTACGTAATGATGAAGGGTTTATGCTCCTGAAGATCTTTATTTTAACATCTCAATTAAATAGCTAATTATTTCAGGTTATTCGGATCTTAAGAGTTCTTGTAAAACCTAAACTCTTTGGGATCCTGATTACATAAGGATCCTAACTGCTCTAAAATCTTTGACAATAGTTAACTGTTGTAGATTGTTAAAGATCCTAACCATCTGAAGATCCTCATAAATCCTACTGCTACAATCATATCAAGCACATCAACCACACAAGCAAAGAGGATATAAACATCAACAACCAAAGTGAATAGAATAAAAAGGGGTTGCCCACCAACCCGCAAAAGAGTGAAATATTGTCTACAAACTCGAGTAATTAAAATTGTTTTTAAAACATCAAACCTACACTTTGGTTTGATCATCCCCACATGGGGGCATCTCTGTCTCTCCCTCTTCTCCCTTCTTCTTCTTCTTCTTCTTCTTCTTCTTCTTCTCTGTAGGACCCTGACCAACATCAACAGGCTTGTCAGTCAACTTAGCCAGGGCTTCACGCCACCCTGCTATGTTACAGGATCCTGATTCTCCATATTTTCTGCCAGCTTGAGCTTAGCCTCCCTGACAGCCACGACAATACTAGCCTTCACCTTAGCATCACATCATCCATCTCAGCTGCATGCTTATCTTCATTCTCAGCTTTCTCCTTGCTCAGCGGCTCTACCCTCCTCAAGAGATCCTCATTAGTTTCCCTCGACAACTTAGCTTGCTCCTTCAAGGCTAATTTAGCCTTCTCAGCCCGGATCTTCAAGTCAGTAGAGACATGATCAGAGACCTGAAATAAGAATAACATCAGAAAAAATGAAAGGTACAATACAAAAAGCAAATTTACACTGATACTCACAGCCTGAGAAAAAGAAACCAACTTCAGAAGCGAGTGCTCGGCCCCAAGATTCTCCAAGCTTAAGTTCGTGACCTTGGTAGTTTTTCTCTTCTGGGATCCCAAAGTCTTTGTCGTGACCTCAGGAAGAAAACCGAGGTGGGTAAGAGAAAGTCTAACTCAACCAAAGCATCGAAGGGTTTGAAGATAACGCTATCGGGAAAAGCACCTTTATTCTTCAAAGATTGAACATCCACATTGTTGAAAGAACATGAATCATCATGTTGTGACAGTGCCTCGAATATAATAGACTTAATATGTAAAATATATCAGTATATGATAAAAATATAAGTTTTGCATTAAGATAAATAGGAAAAATCAACCGAATCGTCCGTAAGTCGTAAAAATTAGAGCGCCGAAACATATATATTTTATTATATATTTAGAAAGTACATGTCTTCCCAGTCCCGAATATAAACTTTGTAAAAATCCGAGTTTATATGAAGGAGATATGAATTTTTAAAGATATAAAAATCAGCCGCGTAGTAAAAGATATTAACGTCAAAAGCTACAGAGAGAATGACTGACTTTTGGGTAAAGTCACCAAAACGATAATTGTAGTACTCTTTAAAATAGAAATTAAGGTAAAAGGAACGCCAAAATTGGAGTCTGTATGAGAGAGTTATGATTTTTGCAAAATCATTAAATTATATAAAAATAAAAGCTAAAAATAAAATTCAGAATTAGGCAATACAACCTAAAGGAAAGCTATAGTACCCGTTGAGAGCTACGCGTCGATATAAAGAACGTCAAAAACGGAGTTCATATGAAGGAGATACGGATTTTAGAAATCTTGTGAGGAGCGCCCGACGCAAAAGGTACGCGCGGCACGCATGTGCTTCTAGAAGGAGATACGATGCACCAGCGACATTCGGACACGTGTCGGCAGGAGGATGGAGCCACGAAGTCATTGCGCGACGCGCCCAGGACTTACACGACACACACTCCTAGAGTGTTGTTGCAACACATTGTTCCTCACTTCGATATGCTTTCTTGCTCTCGTTTACTCTTGTTCTCTACTTCAAAAATCCCCCAAAATTCCTAGAAAATTTCATGATTTAGTTATATATTGTTATACTTTCAAGTCCGATCGATCCCGATGCGATATTCAAGTCCCGAGTCCCGATTCTACCCTACTTCAGTGGTTTCACACTTTACAAGTGAGTTCATGATCCCTATTTTACTGTTTTAAAATGTTTTAGGAGGGATACATGCTTATCAAATGGTTTTATAAAAATGTTTATGTTATAAATATAAAATCTTTTTATAAAAATAGATGCCTTAGGATAACATAGCTATAGAGAATATGCCTAGTTGTAAGCTATGATAATATGCCTAAAAGTTATGATGACCAATAGTCTAGGAGTAGACCAGGAAAAGGTATATACAAAGATAGTGTGATGTGTGTGTATACATTTATAGGGGTAATTATGGAAAGATAAAAGATAAAAGATAAATACATAAGGTCAATGCGTTAGTGAGTTGATAATTCATCCAAAAGCCTTGATTAAATTCGGCATTTGCCAAATATCTATAATCGTTGCGAGAGCCTGAAAGCGTCGGTTATAGTGACTCACGATAATACATTAGATAACCTTAGAGTATAATCGATTATAGGGACTCACGGTAATACACTAGATCACCTTAGAGTATTGTCGATTATAGGTACTCACGGTAATACATAAAAATCGTCTTAGAGTTTAAATAGGGACGCTTGGAATGGTAATTAAAATACGTTACGATCGTTAGATATCCTAAAAATATAGTAAATTAGGATTAATAAAAATATCCTAATTAAAATACGTTAGGTTCGTTAGATAACCTAAAAAGATAGTAAATTATGATTAATAAAAATATCATAATTAAAATACGTTAGGATCGTTAGATATCCTAAAAAGATAATAAATTAGGATTACTAAATGGTATCCTAATAATATAAAAGATAGGATCGTTAGAAAGATAGAAAGCTAGGTAAATAAAATATTTAAGAAATGTTTTTCTCAAAGAAAAAGGATTCTTAAAAGTTACACAAAATCGAAAACTCTAAAAACATGTGAGCTCACCAACATTACGTGGACATTTTCGAAACCTCATGTATTCCTAGGAGGTCGTGAGATGAAAGCCTACACTCTCGGAAGCAGCTAGAAAACTCATGTAGTTTATCGTTCATGTCTATCTGTTAGGACACCTTTCTATAATAGGAACCTAGAAATCCGGTGTAACGTTTTATCTATAAATAAAATAGATCTTTAGGTTACATATTTTGTTTTGTACAGTACAATATATGTTCAATGACTGAGAACCAACATCCCTACGCCGCACTGCTTGGCATTTCCGTCAATGGTCGGGTAGGGTGTGACACAAGTGTAGAAATGGTCACTATGAGACTTATTCTCAACAAAAAATTGTTTCGACCAGGCTTAAGACTCGGGAATACCAATTCAAACAATGTGCATAAGCTCATTCAAGAGGATCCCGAAAATACCAGACTTATTGTTACTTAGTCTAGACTATAAATACACTTATATCACATACACTACATAAATGATTAGCTCTACTATTACATTTATACTCGTTTTATCTTCAACATTTCTGTAATCTCACATTCGAATCAATAAAAACAACAAGCCAAGTGATCATTATCACCTCCCAATGTTTTATGTCGGAGATCCTATAAAAGATCAAAGGCTTTCCATGTAACTCACTTGTCTCATTTTGATTACGATTCGATATTTGTATTACCTTAAACATTACAGCATTTCATACAATTTGGTTGAATAACACTTGATTAATTTTTGACCAAAAAGAAGTAAGATGTCCTCATTTAATGGAAATGATATCCTTATAAACTTTCAAATTAATTGTTTAGCCTCCATGGTAAGTCTTAAGAAAAATTATTTTTACCCCCTCATGTAAAATATTTTTAATTTGTTTAAAGTATAAAATTTTAAGTTAACGTTGATAGATAATTATAATTAATAATTTAATTTATTTAAAAATTTATATGAATACAACCTTTAACTTAGTTTTTTTTAACAATGTTCAAAGGTACATGGTAAAATAAATTGTATATGCATTGTCATGATTTCGAAAAAAAAGTTTACACATGTATCGCCAATCATTTGATTGTGGAAAACGACATACTATGAGCATGCAAACTTAATCGTTTTTTAAAGATTTTTAACTAATTTTTATGTTAACTTTTGACTTTCAATACTTCTCGAAGTTGAATCAACTAGTGGAATCTTATGAATCTTTGAGATAAAAACATGTTTTTATGATCGTTTAACCACTAATTAATATTAATAATAGCTTTCGATTTTTGAAAGCCATATTATGATTAACATTGAAAAATAAGATAAGCAAATTAATGATATTATATATAGGAAATACAAAATGTTAGATATATGTGTGAAGCAGTGTACGACAAATTAAAAAAAAAAAGTTAACGTGGTAAAAGATAAATAATTTTTCCAAACCACATTGATTTCGATGATCTCATTTACAAGAGATAAATAGATATAAATCCTAGTGTCAATGATCCCAAAATAAAGGGTTAAATGCCAAAAACATAACAACATATTTCTATTCATATGTTGATTATAACATCCTACTTTCATTTCTTCTTCTTATGGCTATGTACTTCATAGAATCTTGAATAGACTGAAGTGTTTTAATCTATCGAAAAACAACAATTCACTTCACTGCTATTATAAAAAAAAAAAATTACAGCGGCGAAATTCAATAGATTTTTCATCTAGAAAAAACTAAAGATACATTGTTATAATGAGAAGAAACTAAATGGTATTATTATAACACACAAATATATGAAAGTATAGAACTATATCTGGCTTTTAGCCCTAAAATAAATGTGACGTTTGAGCATATGTTACATCTTGGTTTCCAATAGGGGGGCACACTCGAAATTGGTATGCTCCATCATGGGCCCGAGCCTTATCAGTTTAGGAACAAGTAGATGGTCCCTAAGAGAACATACGAGCGGATTCTCCAATTGCAAAATAGCGCCCGTGACGTTTGCCCGAACGGTCAATGGAAAGATCCGTCGCCATCTCTCATTTTGGTATGCTTTGAGTGCACCGTCCACAACCATCGGTCCAGCCTTGAGTGCAGGAGCGAGCTTTTGCACTAAAACAATAGCATCTTCCAAAGCACAGCAAGCCCCTTGACCCAGATTGGGTGTCATTGGGTGCCATGCATCACCAACCACCACGGCTCCACCTGATGAAGCATTAGGGCTCAGCCCTGGCCACAACCACCGGTCAACTAGTGGGGTCCGGATGACAGTGTCATCCGGGGTGGCATCGATTATGTTTAGAAGCTCCGAGTCCCAATTCTTGATGAGTTCTTTGGTTTGTTTTTTTAACACCGACTGATCAGTAATCTTCGGACCTGTCATCATTATATTTGGTTGCACGTAATGGCAACAGAATGTCATTTGATTCGATGATCATAATAGAAATCAAAGAAATTTTATGTTATATGTAAAATACAGTGAGTAGTTTTAGCTTTACTCTATACATTATTTAACTGGGTGTGAGATCCCATGTATTAAATGAGTTTATTTAAAAGAAATTTTAAATATAAAATTCAAAATATTTGAGAAGTTTGAATTTATAAGAAAAATGAGAAAAATATTGAATTATAAAAATTAAAGTGTTTTTTTTTCTTTTAAATTTAACCAAATAATTTAGTTAAATAAATAAAGGAAATTAATAAAACTATAATTTAGTAATTTTGAAATTAGAAAGAAAGTTCATTAATTAAATTGATATGCATTTATTATTAGATTTAAATAATATGTGGAATTTAATAAAATATAAAAAAACCATAAAATGACATATGAAATAAAAATTAATTTAAAATAACCATAAAATTAAATGTGACAAAATAAGTAAGAATGTGAAATGTGGCAAAAAAATCTTATTTATTAGAGTAGATTTTAATGCATTTTTAATATACAAAAATAAAAATTTAAAATAATAAAAGCTTATTAAAATCCAGAAAATATTAGAATAAAAAATAGTTATTTTTAGAAAACAATCACGAAATCTTATAAATTAGATTTGTATCATTAAAAATTACGTAAATAAAAATGGTTATATACAAATATTTAAAAAAACAAACAACCTTTTTATCCATTCCAATAGAAAACCATCGTACCAAGATTTTTAGTGCAAACTAGGTGAAAAAGTCTCAATAAGGTACGAGGACGAGATACCTGGCGTAGGGCTGTTGAAGCAAACAAACCAGTACACTTTTGTTGGTGAAACGGGAACATAAGCAGCACGTATGCCTCGTCCATAAATATAGTTTACCCGTGGCTCATACGGTTGTCCATCGGGGTATTCTCCAAGCCCACGAAAAGCACAATATCCCACGTATTTAGGCTCTGAAAAACCCATCCATTTAGCCACGGAAGAACGAATTCCATCACATCCAATTACTACCTGTACTTTGATATAATAATGTTAAGCAAGAGGCTGATTACAATTTGCTCTCCTAAAGATCCTCAGTCGCAGTGAATAATTAACTTACTGTTAGTATTTTTTTTTATGTAGTTGGGGTTAAGAAAATATACCTTGGATGATATTCTAGTACCATTAACGAGTTGTAGAAGAGTTTCATCATTTTCATGTTTTTGAATGTTTGCCAATTTTGAGGAGAAAGAGATGGAATCTAGTGGTAGTTGTTTGGCAAGCGTCTCCAGGAGAGTTCTTCTTTCAACTGCGCGAACCTCTTGACTGTTCCCATATGCACCAAATTCAAATTTTGGTGACCAAAAATGCATGCGTATAATAGCATGGATATGTATAGAAACGCTACTATAAATATGTACGTTTGGTCTTCATCTTTGAACGTAAATGCGCGGAGCACTCTCCCATTTTCTGTTTTTATCACTATCCTGCACGATTGATAACTGATTGAGATCAACAGCATATAACTCTATCAGATTGAGAAAAGGGGAAATAACGAACCCTAGAATCTCAAGGTATTGGGATCTGAGTTCATCACCAACTCCCATGGCATCCAAAACCTTCCACCCATTCTTAAACAGAGTCAATGACGTTCCTCCGGTTCGCAATGATTCCGCCTGCTCCAGCACCACGGATCGAACCCCCAATCTTAACACAAAAACAGATCGGAACAAGCTATTCAACATTAGCAATAACAACTTTCGTGATATAAGATATTAAAAAACTAAGTAACCTGTGTAGCGAAACAGCGGTGGATAGGCCGGCTATTCCCGCTCCGACGATGACTACTTCTTCCTTCCGGATATCGGATCCAGCACTGACTATTGTTACCGATGTGAGTTTGATTCGTTTAGGGTTTTTTGTTAGAATTGGAAGAGAGTAGTGCGTATAAGGATTACTGGTTCGTTGATGAAGAGAAACACAGTGAAGGGGCAAGAAAGATGAAGAGAATGCTGCCATTGTGGTGCGTGGCTTTTTGGATGTTTCAGAGAAGAAAACCGCATCTTTGTGTGATTGTTTTATCACCACTGAATTTAGTGGTCAGAGCGAGAGATGTTTCTCGGGAAATTCCATTGAAAAAAAAAAGCAATTAACTATATTAATTAATAATAGTATAGTTTGTATATTTTAAGATTTTATCATAGACAATTTAGTCCGATTGACTCATGTCTTCTAATATTTGCGGTTTTAAGGCCCATTATTTTGTATTTTTCAATATTTTGCCACAATATTTTCTATAGTTAAAATTTGCCACAATACATTTTATAGTTTGACAATTTTAGTCCATATTTTATACATTTCAAGATTGTGCTACAATACTTTGTATAGTTTGACAATTTAGTCCCAAACATGTTGTAATTAGAGATTAGCCCATGTCTTTTAATATTTGTCACTTTAAGTCCCATTATTTTGTATGTTTCAACATTTTGCCAGAATATTTTCTATAGTTAAGATTTGCCACAATACATTTTATAATTTGACAATTTTAGTCCATATTTTATATGTTTCAAGATTTTGCCACAATACTTTGTATAGTTAGACAATTTAGTCCCTAACATGTTGTAGCTAGAGATTGGCCTATATCTTTTAATATTTGCCACTTTAAGTCCCATTATTTTGTATGTTTCAACATTTTGCCACAATATTTTCTATAGTTTGACAATTTTAATCCCTAGTATGTTGTAACTAGAAATTGGCCACATATCTAATATATACACACTTTAAGTCCCTTTGACCATTTTGGCTTTCTTTTTGTCCATTTTTTCGTCTTACTACTTATATTTCATTACGATTTGCCACACGTATTTTAATATTTCTCACTTTAAGTCCATTTGACCATTTTTTACCTTTATTTTGTCCCTTTTCCGTCTATCGATTTGTAATTCTGTTTTGGGCTTCGTTTTGTCATCTTTTTCTCATCGTGATCATTTGTGAATAAAACAAAACGCATCTTATTGCCACAAAGGTGACCCGTGGTTCACCACGGCTCACCCACTAGTTTGAATTATCAAGAAGAAAAAAAATGTGAAAATGACAAATCTAGACATTCACTTAAGTGATTTTCGAAAAAAAAAACCCTATATTTATATTTTTTTCGTTTTAAACCAAAAGTTTTTTTCCCAAAAAAACTAAATTGCTTTTGCAAAAACTTGTTATTTTGTCTTGTAACCGGTTCACAGTACATAGATAAGAGAAAAAGTGTACGAGACTTATTCTTCATTCGTCAAGACTTATCATCCTCTTCCTTTCGTTCATTACGTTCATTCTTTCATCTCTAACAACCCGTCTTCAAGATGAAAACGCCAATTTCGATGGATTATGAGAGGGAAAATTAGGGTTTTTTCCATAATCGCACAAAATGGCATCTAGCAATGAGGTTAAGAAGAATGCTAAGAAATACAAGAAAAACAAAGTTGATTATGAAGAATCTGAAGATGATGTTCTCATGTTTTACATGCAGATGGATTATGAGAAGGAAAAGGTAATAGTTGTATCCTTCCATTCTGTTAAAGATCCCTTTCTTAGCGAACTTTGTGAAGATGAATTTGATATCTTTGATGAAAATGATGATTACATGGATGGTTTGGTTCATCTAGAAGATGATAAGATTGACATCAATGGTTCGGTTTCTGTTAATGATCACACCACAGAGTGGAATCTTATGGAACCAAAGGTTGGAGAGAAATATCAAAAATTTTCTCAACTAAAAAAATTGCCTTATTAAGGTATAAGAAACTTGAAAGTACTAGTTTATGTAACACCCGTAAATTCGGGCTACACATAATAAGTAATAATATTAAAATTAAAATCCTTGAATAGAATAATCTATAGTCATGCGCGTTGTAGACTATATAATATAAGTTTCGTAGTAAGAAAAATAGAAAAATAAATTGAATTGTCTGTAAATCATAAAAATGAGTGTGCCAGTATATATATATATATATATATATATATATATATATATATATATATATATATATATATATATATTATTTAGAAAGTACACGTTGTCCCGATCCCGAAAATATAAATTTCATAAAAATTCGACTCTGTATGAATTAGATATGACTTTTATAAGATATAAAAGTCAGTTTCGCATAAGGAATGTGTGACGTAAAAAGCTACGAAGAAAATGGTTGACTTAGCTAAAGTCACCAAAAGGAAAATCATAGTACTCTTTAAGATATGATGTAACATCCCAAGTTCGGAAGCAAGAAGTTGAAGGGTGCAAAGTGTAATCTCAAAGAAGGGACTCGACGAGTAGGTACGCTTACTCGCCGAGTCGGAGCGGGTTTGGGTCGCAGTTTAAGTGGCCAACTCGCCGAGTCGGCGGCTTGGACGCGACGAGTTGGTGCTGGAATGGGAAAACCCTAATCTCGGGGGTTGCACCCTATTTAAAGGACTTTATGTCCTTCTCTCAGCCTCCTTATTGCCCTTGAGAACCAGAAAACCCTAAGCTCGTGTGTGTGAGGCCTTTGGAGGGAGATTGAAGCTTGGAAGTTGTTTCTAGTGGAAGAAACTTGAAGATCAAAAGGGCTTGCATCAAGAGAGTGGTGTAGATCTAGAATCTACTGAAGTTTGGGCACGTCTTGGAGATAATAAGCTGTTACCTTCACTCTTTTGCATCTAGATCTATTCATGTAGGAGATGTGGGGCCATTTTGGTGTGTTTAAGATCTATTTCGGGTTTGGAGTTTAGATCTGAAGTTGCTACTCCAGATCTAGACTTGTGTTGGTCTAGAATGTCATAAAGCATCAGTCAATGAGTTGTTGGTGAAGCCCCTTTGTCTTAAATCCTAGCCCTAGAGTGATTTTGGACCTTTATCCCCTTGGTTTCACGTAGGGAGTTATGCCCTAGAAGAGTGGATCTATAGTTTGGAGCACCTGCATGGCTCAAAAAGCCTCTGTATGGATGAAGTACTGAAGGGACTCGGCGAGTCACATGGGTGGACTCGGCGAGTCACATGGGTGGACTCGGCGAGTCACATGAAGATAGGCATGGACTCGACGAGTTGAAGAACAACTCGGCGAGTCTGTTGAAGATTGCCCTGGACTCGGCGAGTCTGTTCTTGGACTCGACGAGTCAGGTCGCAGAACCCCTAACATCTTCTGGTTAAGACACAGATCAGTGAGTCGAGGGGTGACTCAGTGAGTTGGACAGGATGGGACTCGGAGACCGTTGGACTCGACGAGTCTTGGGGTGACTCGGCGAGTGGAGTCGTGTTCTAAGAGCTTTTAGAGTATAAGGACTCGACGAGTCAACGGGTTGAGTCGGCGAGTAGGGTCAGTCAGGAAGTTGACTTTGACTGAGGACTTTGACTTTGACCAAGAGTTGACCAGTTTGACTTCCAAGGGTATTTTGGTAATTTTGGTTTTGGTCCTTTGGTAGTGTGCTGTGGTGAAGTTCGTGTCGGTGGTCGGAGCAGCTTGGTCGTATCTCTTCAGTCGGCAATTGCAGGTGAGTTATCCTCACTATATCGACACGGTCTACGGCACCAAGGCCGTCCCTTTATCGGATGGAAATTCGTGTATTGTTTGTTATGTTATTGCTTTGCTAGATCTGCATCGTGGTATTTAGGATGGTGTTATGTTAGTGACCTGGTTAAGGTCGGTACCCGGTATATAGGGTAATGTTATGCTAGTGACCGGTTAGGTCGGAATCCTGGTTAGGATGTTGATATGCTATGTGATCTGTTAGACTGTTTGTCTGGTTAAGAGTTGTTATGTGATTAATTGTTATGTGCACATGGTTGTTTGACGGGGGTTGGGTTGAGGCGGGTCCTGCTTTGTGCTGTAGGCCAACATACCCAGGGCGGACCGGATATTCCGAAGGCCCAGCGAGCGATCCGAATAGGCTGAAGGCCCCAAGAGGGCGGACCAGACGTGCCGAGGCTCGGAGAGTGGACCAGGCCGACTGAAGGCCCGGTGCGGGCGGACCAGACATAATGTAGACTCAGAGAGTGGACCAGGTGGATTGAAGGCCCGGTGCGGGCGGACCAATCACATTGTAGACTCGATGTATATGGTTAGACTCGGAGGGTGGACCAGGTGGACTGAAGGCCCGGTGCGGGCGGACCAGTCACACAGTAGACCCGATGTGCATGGCTGTTCTATTTGTGATATGTTATGAGTATGATATGTGTGGTTGGTATTTTGGGGGTAACTCACTAAGCTTTCGGGCTTACAGTTTCAGTGTATTGTTTCAGGTACTTCAGGAGAACGTGGCAAGGCGAAGGCGTGTCGTACCGCTCCTCATGTTTTATGATTTATGTGATATGGTTCTGGGGGATACTCTAATGTTTAAACTATTTTGAAAACGAATTGTATGAACGTAATGGTTTTTGAATGATTTAAAATGTTTTAAATTGGCTCAAATTTGATGGGTGTTACAAGTTGGTATCAGAGCCTTGGTTTGAGTGAATTGGAGGAACACTCATGTAACTCCAGTCTCAAATCAAGGAAAGGATTTTCAAAAGGATTTTTCAAAAGGTTTTCAAAATAAGTAAAGGAGGATGCAGGGTGTACGATCAGCCGGAGCCAGTAAGTAGACCCCAAAATACCATACAAGTTATTTGATATTATGTGATATGTTAGAACAGCATGCTAGTAATAAGATAGGGATCCTCAGGACTCGTATGATAGAATTGCCTGATCTTTGATGCCTTATCTTATGTAGAGTACCTCAATTGATTGTTTGTGACTCTTTCGCGTGTGAACTAACTATTGGGTGAATACTCTAAGTCACATGCTACATGGGTTAAATGGTCTTAGGGTAAGGGATTTGGTCCTGCTGCACAACTCTTGTCTGAGTCCAACCGTTGTGGGGTTAAATCTTTTAGTCTAAGGTTGTTTAAGTCGTGTGGTATGTGATTGTATTCATGCAATAGTTAACTGGCACCAATGGAGGGTCGTGTTGCAGTTGGTGGATGGGTGGGTAGTGAGAGGCCGGGAGGCCAGTTA